TCTGTATATATTTATAAATACATAATCTATATTATATAAATATAAATATTTTAGATATGAATAACACATTTTCTTAAATATATACATGCATGTGTGTGTATTTATACAAAATAATTATATACAGCACACACAAATATATTATGTAAACACAGACTTTTATTTTGAATGCGATTAATCGCAATTAATTTTTGCACAGCCCTAATTTTTTTTTTTATAGAAATCTTTACTGCTACTTTTGATCATTTTAATATGTCTTTGCAGAACAAAGGTATTCATTTATTTTAACAGTAACTTGCTTTGTTGCAGGCATATTTTATATTATTTTTATTTTATTTATGCAATGCAGCGCAATGTAAGCATGCTTTGACAGCATTGCCATGCCAGTAAAGTGGCACTAAATACTCATCCCAATAAATTCTTTAAAATGAAATTGAAAATCGGTCACAAAATGAGAAACAAACCATCAATATTCTAATCCACTTGATAACACAGAACACAAGTGTATGGCCTGTTTCAGAGTACATCGATTCAGACAGCCCATTCTCACCCCCAAGGCGTCACTTAACTGACATGCATTTGGACATGCTTCAATATCTGACGCTTTAGGCGCCCTTTAGCGTCAGTTAGATGACGCCCTAGGATCGCGTGTACCCTACCCCCACCCCACACCTAAACCTAACCGCGTCCTCTTGAATGACGCCGTAGGATCGCGTCATGTAAGTGACGCTAAAGGGCGCCTAAAACGTCAAATATTGAAGCATGGTCAAAGGTGACGCCTTGGGGTAATGCGTTGATTCAGAGGAGAACAGAGACTTAAGCAGATTAAGACAGCGGTTCTCCTGTATCTGTGGCCAACATGGCCTTCAGGGCCCAAAAACCCACCAGAACCTACACTTCAAACCACACAAATACTGCAGTATAAAAATAAGTTGTGCGAATTCAAGCTGATACCCCCCCAAGGCTTGAAGTGCACAAAGATTCACTTTGACTTTGTGGTTGATAACTGTAGGAGGATCAGTGAGGAAAAAGGCATTTTGTTGAAGAGGATGAGGTGGTTGCGGACAACCTTTGTGTCCAACTCCTCTCGGATGTAGCCCTCTCCTGTTGTAAGACATTCTCGGCATGTAAAACGTCACCAAAAACATAAGCTTTGACTGTTAGAAAAAAAATAGCTAATAAGATTTCCATTCATTTAAACTTATCAAAATTCCCTCTAGAGCCCGGGGAGCTTTCTTTCTCGCAACCCTCTTTTCTTTCATCCATGGTTAAATATGTAAATAAAATGTCTAAAGTCATTCTTCAAAGGGGAACAAAAGAAAAAAGGGGGGCTAAGAGAGGGGGGAGGCAGCCCTAAAATGCCTTCCTTTCTCCATAACATTAGCCAGAGGGGGGCCAGCTTCTAGGCAGCGAGGAACAGCAGGGGAGCGCGCAGGCTCCATAGAATCACACATCTCTCAAATCCCTCACACACAAAAAACATGAAATATCTTTTCAGTCTGAGCCATCAAAGGGCCTCCCTTCTCTTTATTAGTTACAGAATTATCTCACACTTTCTGATTTCAACCAAGATGGAACCCAGCGAGCTGCTGCTGCTGTGCTTTGGAAGAGATAAAGTTCATGTGTGTGTGTGTGTGAGTGGGTGTGTGTTTGGCTATAAAGGATATCTGAACGGACTGAGTATGAAACGGTGAGGGTGGTGGATGCTAGATGCAGAAATAAACAAACACAAAACATGAAAGGGAAAGTAGGAGCTGCCAAGGCTACTGATGATAAAGATTGAATGGTCTTGATTCTCCGCTCTGTTCTCCTCCAGTTCTTCAAAGCGATATCCTCACTGCAAAACAATCACAGGACAGAAACGTGTAATATAAAGTGGGAACAAATCAGCCGAGACCGACTGCGCGACGACACGGCATGCCATTTAAATGCCATCTCAGTATTATATGTATGTTTTAGAAGCGTCAATCAGTGAGCTAATGAGGCTGTCTGTCTGTGATTCATAGTCCGCTGAGATATGTTACACATCCTGAAAGGCTTCATTATTAGCAAATGAAAATGTTCTTACATATCAAAGGAAGGGAAAATGATGATATGTACATGTGATCATCCTTATTAAAAACTATGGGGTTAAACGGCAGGTCAAACAGTCATTTTATGAATCAAACAGTCCTTTTATTAAACTGCCTAATTTGGTTTACTGGTGTTAGTTGGTCTTCCAGTATTGTCAGACTTGTTTTTAGAGGGGTTTTGGGCACTTGACTAGACCAGATTAACCCTAAAATGCATGAATGTTTCGGCAATCATTATTACACATTCGGGTCTTTAGCGACCCGGGTCTATATCTAACACAAGTGGATCTACAGTATACCTGTCGCAATAATATAAAACTCTCCTGATATTAGAGTAACAATTGCAGAAGAATAAAATTAAGCATATTTTATACTTTTAGGAGTTTGGAAGTGTCAATTATTTTAAGAAATAAAAAAAATGAATAATTTGATTCTTCACCAGATCAAGTGATGATGACACTAATATTTAATTGCAATCAGTATTTGCTCTGCAGTAGGCCTAAATCACTGAGCCATTTCAAGTTTTGCTGATGATACTATTCTTTTGTTTTCTGTCTGTGGTAATGAACGAAACATCACGTCGACACTGTGTATCAGACATTGCCACCTTATGGAATGGTGAATTGGACTTATTACACACCTCGGGTTGTTAGAGACCCCATACAATTTTTTACAAAAGATTAATGGCAAAACAGGCAGTCTTTTATAATTTTCTTGTTATATTGTTTATAATGAATAGATTGAGGAATACAAAGAAGGTTGATGTATTAGGCCTTAGTTCAATTAGGACATTCAAGTAGCTTTTATAAATTTCCTTCGAAAAAAAAAAACATTAGTAGTGTGCATCTTGAGACGAATCAATAGCACTGAAATAGTTTAATAGATGTCTCTGTTAGAAAGTTACTTTCAGTTAAAACAGCTCAGTCTGGGACTAGACTTAAGCCTTGTGAAAACAGGGGAAACCATTTAAACAAAACCTGTTCTTCGACAGACTGTCTTTTTACATTTTGACATCCAAACTGAATCTCTTTGATTCAAACTACCTCCCAAAATGACCAATTTGAATGCTAAGTAGTGCTCAGTATAGCTTCAAGTTTATTATACTGGGTTTGTTAATGTCTCTGAGGCGTATAAGTGACTCTTGTAAATGTCTCACACTAGGGTCGACATCTTAGCTGTTAAAAAGCGCTTCATAAGCTGTAAAAAAGCTCTTAGAGGGTTCTAAACTGTGTCGTCAGGTGTTACACTGATAAATCACATTTTTACTGCATGGGTAACATGAGAGAGCACTCAGCTATCTGGTATCTCTTGCTCCACGAGGCCCTCTTTGCTTTCTCCATAGCTGGCACGTGAGACGCAGTACCAACAACAGCTAGCCCATGCAAAGACACATTTTTTTAATTAACACTGTTGAGTGTTTTATTTTACTAAAAAACGTACATAATGCATACATAATGGCAGTGACTCTGACATGTCACCTCAACAGTATCAAAACTTTCACACAGTGTGCTATGGGATTTGGCATGCGTGCCATGGTTACAGCCCTGAGAGCTAGACTAATACTAGGCCTAGCTTGCCAGCCCTTAGCCCCAGCATGAGTCGAAGATGAATTCACTACAACAAGAATGAAAAGCCCTTTGTCTAAGAATTCATCCTTAAGGCATTTTATCCTGTACGCATTCAAGTTTTTACGACTGATAGCAGAGGATGAAGAATGGAAACTGCCATATATGCTAAGAATGTCTTTTACGTAATTACACACCCACTTCTGCATACTGTGTAAGGCCACTTGTTCAATGTTTGTATGTTCAGTACAGAAATTTACATTTTACATTCGCTTAAAGCTTTGAAAAGGGCAGTAGATTAATAAAAGCACTCAGTGTTTAACTGTGTGTATAATGTGATTTCTGGCACAATACAGTCTTTGTTAAATGAGCATTGTAGTGAATTGTTCATTTGTGACAAGCAAGAAATACGACTTAAATAAAATATTAATAAAGACGCTGTGGAGTGTCCAGGACAGTAAACAAGTTAGTAATCCTATATTTTTGATTTATGAATAAATGAGGCCAATGTTAATGTCCCTCAAAGAGACTTTGATTTTGTTCTAACATGATTAGAAGGGATAGTTCACCACAAAATTTAAATTCTGTCATAATTTACTCCCCCACACATTGTTTTAAACCTGTATGAGTTTCTTTGTTCTGTTAAACATGAAAAGAAGATATTTTGAAAAATTGTAGTTTTTCAAGTCAGTAGGGACCAGCAACCGTTTGGTTACTTACCTACATTCTTCAAAATATCTTCTTTTAACAGAAGAAAGAAACTCATACAGGTTTAGAACAACTTGAGGGTGAGTAAATAATGAGAGAATTTTCAATTTTGGGTGAATTAACCCTTTTAAATTTAGAAAACTGTTTTAAAAACATAAGATGCCAGCAATGCTGATGCTTGATGAAACACTGTCATTTGTATGAAGCAACTTTTATAATTTGCAATTTATATGTAAAAAAAACTGTTGGTTTCAAAATTCACATAGCCTTGCCTAATGTGAGAAAGAAAGAAAGAAAGAAAGAAAGAAAGAAAGAAAGAAAGAAAGAAAGAAAGAAAGAAAGAAAGAAAGAAAGAAAGAAAGAAAGAAAGAAAGAAAGAAAGAAAGAAAGAAAGAAAGAAAGAAAGAAAGAAAGAAAGTCAAAAGAAGACTATGCAGAAGAAAAAGTCAACATTAACGTTGTCTTGAAGATTAGCAAAAGTGCTTGAAAATTAACTATATGACTTCTTTATTTGTATTGACAATGTCCTCCTAAAAGCCACAAGGTTTCATTTTTTTGTCATCGGATTGCGTGGGGTGAGAGTAAAGACTCGTAAACTTCAGCCATCAGTTCTAGTTCAGTCAACAATAAAAAGCGAGGGGAATTTCAAGGAATAAAAACTCTCCTTTCTCTTCACTCTCTTCCCACAATGGTCGGAGCGTGAAAATCGCCAGTTGTAGAGAGAAAGGGGACACATCTCGACTGGAAAGCCATTGAATCCTTTTGGTTGTCCTCTGCGAGAGATTTATCGCTGACTTGCGCCGAAAAGTGTTTCGTAGGCTAAATCATCAGAGGGATTTCGTCTGAAAGAGAAAACAACAACAATAACAAATGGTTAGTAATTTACTGTGTGATCCTGTGGTAAAGTGGTGACGAAGATTTGGGTCTGCACAGCCAGATCCGCACGGTTTAAGGATAATCAGTGTGTCAGTTTGGGCTTTCTTATGTAAAACAGCTGTCTTTGAAGGCGGATCTTTTGGCAGGTTAGTTCAGGACGGTGGCGGACGAGCTCAGACACAGACAGCGCGCGAGGCAGTGAACAACTCTTGACGGATAAACGGGGTGTCTGGAGACGAGCTAAAGTTAATATTCACACGTTTACCAAGAGGATTCGTTCATTTTTAGATGACTGGGATAAAATGACGCCGTGCCTTCAGTTTGGATACACTTTACGGAGGATGAATGGGGAAAGTAGCGCGAGAGCGAGTTGAAAAGTAAGTGCACTTTCGTGAGGGAAACGGACCGTCGACATTATCAAACAGGAGTGGACCATAAGAGCGTTAGAAGAAGGAATTATCATCTTTGAATTAGGAATAAAAAAAACTGTGTGAAACCTCTCTGTATGGGGAAACCTTACTAATATTTCTCATCTATCTAAAGATTTTTTGACTGAACTGACTGCTTGGAATCTGAGTTACTGACTCAGTTTGATTGATGCGCTAATTCAACCTCATCCTTCTTCTAATTTTTTGGGGGATACAATAACTTTTTTCAGCTACAATTACTAAGAGTGACAATGAAACAACTTTTGTAGTAAAAATACAAAGCTCTTTTTGAAAGAATTATCCACGCTACATGAGTTAATATTGAAAGACAATGTTTGCTGCAAATGTTGGACTTGTGCTGCTGTGCACGGCTGGATTTTGTTCCGCTATCAGTTCCATCGACCAGGACCGACCAGGTGAAGGAAGATGCCAGGAGATTGCTATTCCACTCTGTAAGGATATTGGCTACAACTTGACAGTTATGCCGAACTTAATGGGACATGAAGATCAAAGCGAGGCAGCCATAAAACTGCATGAGTTCGCTCCACTGATTGAGTTCGGCTGCCACAGCCATCTGAAGTTTTTCTTGTGCTCACTCTATGCTCCCATGTGCACGGAGCAGGTATCCACACCCATCCCAGCATGCCGAATAATGTGCGAGCAGGCAAGGCAGAAGTGTTCACCCATCATGGAGCAGTTTAACTTCCACTGGCCTGAGTCACTGGACTGTTCCAGACTGCCAAATAAGAATGACCCCAATTACCTCTGTATGGAGGCACCTAACAACGGCACAGACGAGCCCCCAAAAGGATTCCACACTCAGTCACCAGACTCCCGACCCCCTCGGCCAGGTAACAGCCAAGAACTGCCTATTAAAGAGAGGGTTGGTAAGGCGACATGCAGCAACCCTGGAAAGTTTCATTATGTACAGAAGAGTGAGTCCTGTGCCCCCAAGTGTTACTCCAATGTCGACGTGTACTGGAGCCAGGGTGACAAGCGCTTCTCCATGGTGTGGATCGCCATTTGGTCCATCCTGTGCTTCATCTCAAGTGCCTTTACCGTCCTAACCTTCCTCATCGATCCACAGCGCTTCAAGTATCCTGAGCGGCCCATCATCTTCCTGTCAATGTCTTACTGCGTCTACTCAGTGGGCTTTCTCATAAGACTTTTTGTGGGGGTGGAAAACGTGGCCTGTGACCGTGACAGTGGTGTTCAGTACATCATCCAGGAAGGCTTGGAAAGCACTGGCTGCACTATAGTCTTCCTCATTCTTTACTACTTCGGAATGGCCAGTTCCCTATGGTGGGTCATTCTTACTCTCACGTGGTTCCTCGCAGCTGGGAAAAAATGGGGTCATGAGGCCATCGAAGCCAACAGCAGCTACTTCCATCTGGCAGCATGGGCCATACCAGCTATTAAGACCATCATGATACTGGTTATGAGAAAGGTGGCGGGAGATGAGCTCACAGGGGTCTGCTACGTGGGCAGCATGGATGTCAAAGCCTTGACGGGGTTTGTTCTTATTCCCCTCTCTTGCTACCTCATCATTGGCACTTCCTTTCTGCTTTCAGGGTTTGTGGCACTCTTTCACATCCGTAAGGTCATGAAGACTGAAGGAGAGAATACGGATAAGCTGGAGAAGCTGATGGTTAGGATTGGCGTCTTTTCTGTGCTCTACACGGTCCCCGCCACTTGTGTCATCGCCTGCTATTTTTACGAGCGTCTCAACATGGATTATTGGAAGATTCTAGCAGGAGAGCGAAAGTGTACTGAAGACAGTAAGAGTGGCGAGGAGTGCGTGATGAAGAGCTCCATCCCAGCCGTGGAGATCTTTATGGTTAAGATTTTCATGTTGCTGGTGGTGGGCATCACCAGCGGCATGTGGATCTGGACCTCCAAAACGCTGCAGTCTTGGCAAAACATTTTCAGCCGCAAACTTAAGAAGAAGACGAGGAGGAAGGCTGCATGTGTTTTCACTGGAAGTGGACCTTATCTCAAGCCTCATCCTGCACTCAAAGGACATAAAACCAAGTACGAACCAGCAGGTCCTCCTGCAACTTGTGTATGAGCTGGGCCTCTATACACATACGAATGGCCAAGAAATAAATGCTGGACTTAGACAAACTGCTTTATAAATAGACAAGCCAGCAGAGAACACAACATTGCTCATATTTATTATATGCAAACTTCAGATGCCCAACAGGTTTTATTTAGTTCTTAATGCTTGTACTACATCTGAAACTTTGCAGACTTTGGGGACCATTTTGTGAAACCAAGAAAAAGGGAATGAGTCCCTATTGCTGTCATTGGGATGCCTGTATCTTGTCATGTGCAATAGTTGTTTCCCTTAGTGACAGAGAAAAAGGGACTCTGATACTGTAGGGCTGTGATTAAAGACAATGAAAGGACTTGACAAACAATAGGTGTGAATGGCTCGGCTCCTCCGTGGCATAGTCGTGTGGCTTTTCTATGGAAATGAAGGCCGTGTCATAAACAACTGCATTGACATTGGAGTGCAGTTGCTCAAAAAGGCCTCGGCAGAGAATGAACTGCCTATTTTTAGGCTTTTTCATGGAACAAAGTAAATCTTTAAGCACTAAATATTGCCAACACAAAGAGAAAAACTTGTTATTTGAGTTGTTTTGTACAGTGAGGTCATGCCCCCTGGTTTGTTTTGTTATACCAAGCTCTTTTTAATGTCCTACATACATTTGTGTATATTTCTAAAGGTTCATATTTTATAAGAATAAATAAAACATTTTAGTTTTAAATGTTTGACATGAAAAGCAAACGCTTTTATGATTTGTGTTGAGTTTGAAAAGTTTCTACCTCCAAGAAGTACAGTATAATATCCATTCTGTCATATTGTTATCTAATTTTAGAGATCCATTATGTTGGGAATCACTAGAGATTCAATTAAAATTCGTCATCAGTCGCACCTTAACAAACATCCCTAAGCTAAAACCTTCACCATTAAACCTTAAAGAGATATTTTACCCGAAAATGAAAATTGTCATAATTTACTCACCCTCGTTTCTTTCTTTCTTTTACAGAACAAAAAAGCCCAATACAATGAGATTCAGTGTGGTCAACAGCAACACTGAACCTCATTGACTTTAATTATAGGGAAAAAAAACCCCCACAAAATATTATTTTAAATATTCATTAACTTATTTTGTGCTAACAAAATATAAAGGTTTGGAACAACATGGGTGAGTAAATTGTTTGAATTTAGATTTTGGACTGAACTATTCCTTTAAGGTTGCAGAAATAAAAACATACGAATACTCCATTGGGCTAATCATTTTGAAGGATGAGATCCTGATAATTTTTATAACAAACATCATTAGAGGAAATAATTGAGACCCAATCTCAGGCCTCTGCCTCATCTCTGATGTACTTTGGGCCTTGGCTTTTATTCTTTTGAGTAGAACAGGGTCAGTTCTATGGCTATATATATATATATATATATATATATATATATATATATGAAGAGTTCAGATGCAAAAGCCTCTAAATGCCATTTGAAATTTTCTTCTTGAATGATGATTTTTAGCAAACTTGTATATTTAAGTTCAGTGATTTCACTTAAATAACAATTAATAGGTAATCATCATTGCAATTTAAGTGAAATCACTGAACTTAAATATACAAGCTTGATAAAAATGATCATTCTAGAAGAAAATTTCAAATGGCACTTAGAGGCTTTTGCATCTGAACTCTTCATATATGTATATATATATATATATATATATATATATATATATGAAGAGTTCAGATGCAAAAACCTCTAAATGCCATTTGAAATTTTCTTCTTTAATGATGATTTTTATCAAACTTGTATATTTAAGTTCAGTAATTTCACTTAAATAACAATTAATAGGTAATTATCATTGCCATTTAAGTGAAATCACTGAACTTAAATATACAAGCTTGATAAAAATCATCATTAAAGAAGAAAATTTCAAATGGCATTTAGAGGCTTTTGCATCTGAACTCTTCATATATATGTATATATATATATATATATATATATATATATATATATATATATATATATATATATATATATATATATATATATATATATATATATATATATATATATAGATTAATTTTAATAAGATAGGAATATGAAAGCCAGGACATTTTAAAAAATTTCACATTTCTTCAAAATCGTTGATGTTATTAAAGTATATACTGAACTCTTCATGTATATATATATATATTTATATATATATATATATATATATATATATATTAAAGTATATACTGAACTCTTCATGTATATATATATATATATATACATGAAGAGTTCAGTATACTTTAATAACATCAACGATTTTGAAGAAATGTGAAATTTTTTAAAATGTCCTGGCTTTCATATTCCTATCTTATTAAAATTAATCTATTCACTTCCATGTTTCATTGAAAAACAATACTGAAGCAGGGGCTTTAAAGTTTGTTTTATTTTGGTCTCCAGGTTTGGTGTGTTTTTTTTGTTTTTTTTTTTATCTGGGTTTTATTTGTAACATCAAATTGGGTCATTTTTGAAGTGTTGCCTTTGATTTAACAGTGCCTTTTTTCGCTGTTTCGGAGTAGATCACTCAAAAGGTCTGTTACCGGCAATCGCATATAAATCTGTTTTTTTTTTAACTTAATGCTAAACTTCTGAGTCCACATCAACATTGAAGACATGAAGTCTTTTCATCTCCTGTTTTATTTGTACATCTGTCTGTCTATCTATCTATCTATCTATCTATCTATCTATCTATCTATCTATCTATCTATCTATCTATCTATCTATCTATCTATCTATCTATCTATCTATCTATCTATCTATCTATCTATCTGTCTATCTGTCTGTCTGTCTGTCTGTCTGTCTGTCTGTCTGTCTGTCTGTCTGTCTGTCTGTCTGTCTGTCTATGTGATCATCAGTGTTTTGTTTGATGTGAATATCTTTTTTGTGCCATGTGATCAATCAATAATTTACTCATACATGGTGTCAATACTTTAATACTGGATTGACCTGAGAAACCCAAGTTCATAAAACACACACAATGACCCATAGGGTTGTTTGTCTAGAGAAAACAGAAACATTACACCCTTTAGTAATCGGATCGCATCTGTCATTATCTTGAATCATTGAGCACATTTGCATAGACAGGTGAGGCTGACCTTCAGGCATTGCACAGTTGGAGAAAAACTAACATAAAACAAAAAAGGAAATCAATTTCATTACATGCCCCATCACGTCCTATAAGCTTCTCTTTTTCCTAATGTGTGTATTTGATTCAGTTTAATGTGATTTGGTATGAAATGAGAAATATCTTTAAAGGATCTTTAATGCTTACTTAGAAAATGATCACATTACTGATTTCCTAAAAAGCAAGTTTGTTTCCCCCAAAAAATGCCCAGATCATCAGGAGTCTTTTGATCTGTCTTCATTCTTAATGTGTTTGTTTGGCAAATTCACTCAGAATTTGGTATTTTAAGTTCAACTCCATGTTGACTTTGATCTTAAATTTTCACACAGGAAATGCACAAATAGAAGCTCACGCATGTTTTGCCAACCTATTTCACATAATTACTATAAAACAACTAATTTATTCTACCTTCTTCAAAGAAAAAAATGAAATGATATATCCAAGTATTAAATGTGACGGTGAATCAAACAAAGTATTTCGATATATCTTTTCATCAAAATATTAAAGCTCACTAAGCCGTTTTACAACAAACAGCAAATATTTAATAGAATGCTATTACTCTTTCCATCATTAAAAGATTATGGTATGTTTGGACATATTTTTCTGCCCTTTAAAAGCTCACTTTAGGTGTCAAGTGCAGCAGTGTGTGAAAGTGTGTGTATGTGTGTGTAAAAAAGATCTAAAACAGGTCTGATCTGATGAGAAGGTTTGAGTGAAGTGTGTGTTCTGTACTTTGCCCAGGGGGTATTCAAGTCTCTACAAAGTCCTTGTAGTGTTTCAAAATTCAGGCACATGAATCAGAGAGGCCTCGTTTGACACACACATACACACACACACAGAGAGAGAGAGAGAGAGACTTCAGTTATGCTCTGTCACACCAGCCCATCTCTCAAACACACACACACACATACTTGTGTACACACAAGTCTGTTTAAGGGCCACCTGGACTCTGGGCCCTGGGGTGTGAGTCGAACTGTAAATATCAATGACAGTTACCACTCCACCTTCTTCTAAAGACTATCTCACTTTTTCCTTTTCCCTTTTTTCTTCCCCACTTGCTTTTTCTGAAGTTGCGGCTTAAAGATGGGTTCACCATGTGAAGATGGAGTGTGTTTTTGAAGTGAGGTAAGAGCTGAAGTGTAAAGGACAGCAGTCCGTTTCGTTTTAATGCCACATCCAGTGCTCTGCACATCTGAAAGGACTATTTCTTGCCAGTCTCCAAACAGCTTTATCTAGGTGTTTGGTTGATCTGTTGGGCTGGTAAACATTCATTATTTAGTTTCTCCGGTATTCTGTTTCAAGTAAGTATAGAAAAAAATCACTCCTAATTTGCCAGCTCTACATTGGCTTCCAGATCATTTTAGGATTGAATTTAAAATTATTTTATTTAAATATAAATCCTTAGGCCTACATAACCTTGGTCTGAACTACCTGTCGGATTTACTGTGTCCCTACAGCCCTCCCATAAGTTTCAGAACTGGTAATCTTAATTTATTGACAGTCCCTCATTCAAGGCTAAAAGGCATGAGAATAGCCTGCCAGATCAACTTAGAGCAGCTCCCTCACTATCCAACTCTTCTTAAAACTCATTTGTTTTCTTTAGATTTTAATTTATAGCCCCTTTCACACAGAGATTCCGGAAAATACATGCGATAATGTGACCCGGCATTTGTCCCAGGATTGTTTGATTTCGGTTCATTCACACTGCCAGTGATTTGCAGGGATCTGAGTGAGTGCTTTCACACACAACCCGTAAAGATCCTGGAAAGACACATGATGTCAGGATGAGACGTGTAACGTATGCGTCGAAAACATGTACACGCGCATAGTGTTCCACAAAGCTAGTGAATGATCTCAGATTCAGCACGGATAGTGAGGAGCTCCTGGTCTCTGCTTATGTTAATTGTCGCTCTCTGCTATGTTTTATACTTTTGTATTTTGTTTACTTTTCTCCTGTACAGCACTTTGGTCAGTCTTGTGACTGTTTTAAAGGTAGTGTCGGTCAGAATTTTTATAAAAACTTTTTTCCAAATTTGTTTAAACTTTCTATATATATCACTGCATAATTAAAATCTAAGTACTCTGAAAAAAAGAGTATAAAAATCGAGTGACTCTAGACCGTATAATCTGCACTAAACACAGCTCATTATTTCGAACCGGGACGAAACAATGGACTGGCTTAGGCGACTGTCACTCTTTCGCAACCATGGCAACCACCCTTTTGCCACACAGGACATTCCCACTTGCGCGTATCCAGATCGTACCTGTTCGCATGCCCTTGTTTGAGCTTGAAGATGCAAAAGTCGACGCAGGTCCTCTTGTCTAAAAAGTGCTCCTTGCCCTGCACTTCGACTACCCCGTCCTCGGCCTCTACTTCCTCGGACCCTAATAGCACGGCCTCTTGCACGACCTCCTCTGCTTCGCCCTCGACCACGGATCTGTCCTCGAGCTGACGATGCGTTACTTGCTTTCTTATACTGTAACTTACTTGTCTCGGGAGTGTAGTCCTCATCAGAATCAACAATGCTTTCATCAAGCAAACTCTTACATGCAGAACACCATATGTTA